AACCAGACCTAAACTTAGGACAGGATGCTTCCCTGCTAAGCCAGCCCCAAGACCCTAGCATCACTGTGGGGGTGGTGGGGGGGGGCATAAGGGCATATGGCTGAGGGTCTGTGGGACTGAGGGCAAGAGGGATGCTCTTATGAAGCCTAGTTTCCTTTGCTTTCAGCAGGTATACCCTCTGTTTTACAGAAATTCAGCCTCTCTTGACCTAGATCCTTTAGCACATCTCTGACCCAATAGCTTCTGAGCCTCCTTTCTAAAATCTTAGGGAAAACTGGCCTTCCCACTTACCAAAGCAAATCCTCCAACTCTTGATCTCAATTCCACCTCCTCGCAACTCCTAAGGGCTTATCTGACAATTATTTATCTCACTATCTCCATCCTCTTCTATTGTCCATTCCTTTTCTTTCTTTGACTCTTCTGGCTCCTTCTTTCAGCCATCAGATGTGCTCAAGTTCACTAGTTCTTTAAAACAAACACCCCTCACCACCACCAAACATTTTTGAATTCTAACAACAACAGAAAGAACCCTCTTTAAAATGTTTATGTTTTGCTAAATTGCTTTATAGAAATGTCTAAATTCAGAAAGAGTAATGAAAAGAAAGAGAAGTTAAAATAGTTTGCACTGAAGGATCAGATTAAGGATATCCTGAGGAACCAAGAACAGAAGAAAGGATAAAGACAGGGGTCTGAGTATGTGTCCTGAGAATGGCTGGCCTTAATCAGTCATCAAATCTTGTCAATTCTACTTCAAAAGTGTATCTATTGAACTCTGAATATTTTTGAATTTTTGAGTATATACTATGGGTAAAGCATTGTACCAGGTGCTATAGGAGATAAAAGGATGAAGTAGACATGGATCCTGCCCTCAATGTATTTACAGTCCAGTTTAGGGGATGCAATATACATATAAATCTGTAACACAGTGTCAAAACTTTTAAGTGTTATTAGAGAAGATCAAATAAAAATGTTATGGGAGTTTTGAGGAAGAAGGGGCCTCTTTGGACTGCGGCCAGTGAGGTTGAGGAGGAGGAAGACCATTTGTGATAATATCATGGACATGATTGCTCTTGAGTTGGGCCTTAAAAGATATGTTGTATCTGGGCAGAAAGATGTAAAATGAAAAGACATTTCACGCAGAGGGAATGATGGAAAACATGACACAGAGGCAGGAAATGAAAAGTTATATTTAAGGAACAATTGAGGGTTAATTCTAATGCATAGAGTAGCATTAGAAAGGGAATTGTAAGAGTTAATTTTGGAAAGTCAAGTTAGGTACAAATCATGGCTGGAGAGCAGGAGGAGTGGGGAAGACTTGAATGCCAACCAGTGGGGAATGCCAACCAGTGGGGAATGATAGAGGTTTTTGAACAAGGCAGTTCAGAGTCATGCTTTAGGCAGTTCTGGTAGAATCTATATAAGATAGGTGTGTAGCAAGTGGGAAGGACTGGAAACAAGAATCTGTATGGGTGCTATTTGAATAGTTCAGCAGAAATGAAATGAGTTTCAAAATCCAGATTCTACTATAGGTGGTAAAAGAAGGAAAGCAAACCACCCACAGAAATACAGAAAGTAAACTAAATGGGGAAAATGTATAGCTTTACTAGGATTCAAAGAAATGCAAGTTATAACTTTAAAGCATGATTTAACATCTATGTAACAAATTTTTCATCTGAGAAAATATAAAGTTGATGAGATTTGAGGGAACTGGACACAATTATACATCAGAGCAGTTTAAGACACCAACAGCAATCTGACAAAATGTAGGCAGGTCCAGAGACTTCCCTAGCGGTCCAGTGGTTAAGACTCCACCCTTCCACTACAGAGGACACGGGTTCCACCCCTGGTTGGGGAACTAAGATCCAGCATGCTGTGCAAAGCAGCCAGAAAAAAAATAAAATAGAATAAGAATTCAAGCCCAACATTGTAAATCAACTACACTTCAATTTTTTAAAATGAAATTTAAAAAAAAGTTAAGCCCAGTATTAGAAGAGTCAAGAGCTGATCAACAGCTTCATGGAACCTACTCCCTAACTTGGGCAGGGCACTTTAAGGTGGATCTATACCCTGTCTTTTCTATGCCCAGCACAGTCACTGGGCTAAATATAAACCAATTATCAAACAATCTTCTAAAGGCTCCACAGAAGTTAGAAGGTTTAATAGAGAAAGACACAGCCCTGTGTTTAAATAGGCTTTAATCTATAGGTAGCTTGACCACTGTCTCAACAACCACTGGGCACACTAGGACACATCACTGGAAGCTGAGCCACAGCATGGCAGGTGCAAAGCAGGAGGCCCTGACGCTACCGGAAGAGGCAGAGGCTGACTAATATGCCATAACTATGACACCAAGCTTCTGGTTTTTAACAAGACAGGTCATAAATCTCAGGACACCTCCTAATTATTTTGCTACATTTTACTGTTACCTAAGCTCTTAAGGTTCTCTCTTCTGTGTGTATGGTGGAAATCTTATGTAATGATATGCCATTGCCCATCTCTTCCCAACTCCTCATTCAGTGACATCCCATTGGTAGGTTGAAATAAGCCATGTTGAGAGTATTTATACTACAGGCAAATGCTACAAATCAAAGGTTGATTTATTATTTTGTCTAGATCAAGAAGCGGCAAACTATGGTCTGTGGGCCAGTCCATCCTTGTTTTTATAAATAAAGTTTTAAGAACACAGCCATGCCCGTTTGTTTAGTATCATCTGTGGCTGCTTTCCCACTAAAATGGTACAGTTGAGTAGCTGTGGCAGAGACCCTATGGCCTGAAAAGCCTAAAATATTTACTATCAGGCCCTTTACAGAAAAAGTTTGCCAATCCAGGGTCTCACTCACTAAGGCGAGCAAAAATATGAACCAATATTCATGGCAAAACTACTCTTGAAGGGCTTCCCTGGTGGCGCAGTGGTTGAGAGTCCGCCTGCCGATGCAGGGGACATGGGTTCGTGCCCTGGTCTGGGAAGATCCCACATGCCGCGGAGCGGCTGGGCCCATGAGCCATGGCCGCTGAGCCTGTGCATCTGGAGCCTGTGTTCCGCAACGGGAGAGGCCACAACAGTGAGAGGCCTGCGTACTGCAAAAAAAAAAACTACTCTTGGAGAGCCATTTCTTAAACATATACCAGCACATCACTGGGTAGAGTTCATATACAGACCTAAGCAGTCTGATTCTAGAATTCACATTAACCACTATATTGCTAAACAGAGTATGAAATATTATGTAAGCATGAAAATTTATAGAAAGCTTACTGTCAATTCATAGAAATGTGATGTATAAAATAAGTGGAAAAACAAAAATACAAAGTGGTAATGTCCACATTGATATATATCAATTTGTATCTAGACGTGAAATTCTGGAGAAGAAAATAGAATTTAAAAAGTTAAGCTTGGGCTTCCCTGGTGGCACAGTTGTTGAGAGTCCGCCTGCCGATGCAGGGGACACGGGTTTGTGCCCCGGTCCGGGAAGATCCCACATGCCACGGGGCGGCTAGGCCCGTGAGCCATGGCCGCTGAGCCTGCGCGTCCAGAGCCTGTGTTCCGCAACGGGAGAGGCCACAACAGTAAGAGGCTCACGTACCCCAAAAAAAAAAAAAAAAAAGTTAAGCTTGTTTTCTCTATGAAGTCACTTAGTTAATTCCTAAAAATAAAGAGAGGAAAAGACATATCCAGGACTTCCCTGGTGGCACAGTGGTTAAGAATCTGCCTACCCATGCAGGGGACACAGGTTCGAGCCCTGGTCCGGGAACATCCCACATGCCGCGGAGTGACTAAGCCCGTGTGCCACAACTACTGAAGCCCACGTGCCACAACCACTGAGGCCCACGCACCTAGAGCCCATGCTCCACAACAAGAGAAGCCACCACAATGAGAAGCCTGCGCACCACAGTGAAGAGTAGCCCCCACTCGCTGCAACTAGAGAAAGCCCACGTGTAGCAATGAAGACACCACACAGCCAAAAAAGAAAAAGAAAAAACACATATCCATATATTCCCTTTAGAAACTATCCAATATCCTCTTCTAAGCTTCTTAACGTATGACTTCTGCACTTTTTTTTTTTTTTGCGGTACGCGGGCCCCTCACTGCTGCGGCCTCTCCGTTGCGGAGCACAGGCTCCGGATGCGCAGGCTCAGCGGCCATGGCTCACGGGCCCAGCCGCTCCGCGCCATGTGGGATCCTCCCGGATCGGGGCACAAACCTGCATCCCCTGCATCGGCAGGCGGACCCTCAACCACTGCGCCACCAGGAAAGCCCTGCACTATTTTATAAATACCCAGACTCTTTTCCACACCGTGGAACACGGCTTCCATCTGACCTATTTTACCCCAACAACTTCTATAGACATTACTTCTGCGATTATGACCATGACCAAATTCAGAGATTTTTCTCCTTCCTTGTCTCCTGATACACAGAACATTGTGGATTGATTGTACCTTCATTCTTGACACTTTCTTCCCTTTTGACTTTCAAGACTGTACTTTTTACCTTTCTCTATTAGCTCTTTTGGTGGGTCCTTCTCCATCTTTTTAAATTTCTGATTTCTCTTTCTCCTCATCCCCAAATCTGAGTATGCCAAAAGAGCTCTTTTTAAAAAAATTATGTGGGTAAGTTAATATCTAAGCCTCAATTTTCTAATTGAAAAAGGGGACTAAAATTAGTACCCACCTGTTAGCATGAAAATTAAATGAATTAGTTTCATAAAGCATTCTGCACAATAGTAAGTACTCAATAAATGTTAGTTGTTGTTATTCTCATTTGTGTTCTTTTTGTTGCCGGTCCAACCAACACTGATATCGCTGAACTCATTACTTATGGCACAGGTTTATGTAACAATTAATTACATAAAAATGTATATGTGCACTTGGTAACAGCAGGTGGCTGTGAGTCTTATTTCGACAACAAGATCATAAGCTCCTAGAACATGGCAAGTTTGACCTCTTCTGAGTCCACCAACCATACTAGCCAACCCTTAACTGAATCAATGCCAGAACACCTGTACCTCTGTTGAGTGGGGGGTTCCAATCCATCCCCAAGGCTGTGTCCTCGCTCTTCAGTCTTCCTGGTTCCCTCAGGATTTATTCCTTCTTCCTGTAAGCACAGGTAGAGTTGAGGTCAGTCATAAGGCCCTTCCAGGGGTGATAGGGATTGCGAGCAATCAAAGACCCTACATGAGGCCATGCATCAGCCCACAGAGATGTGTAGGAACTAAACTGGTGAGTTACCGTGAGCTCCAGCCCTGGGTTCTCTATGCCAGTCTCCACTGTGGACAGAGCAATGCCCTCTCTTCCATTTGTTTTCTCCATCTCCTGCTCTCCTGAAAAACAAATTCAGAGCCAAGGCTGAAAGATTAGTTGTTCTATAATATGGGGCCGGATAGAACTTTTAGGGCCAGTTACCCACAGGAAAACAAAACTAAAAATATTTAGAGATTTAGTTGATTAAGAATTGAGAAAATTGGAAACATAATTCTAAAATAATAAACAATGAAATATAGACTTCTACTTCCTATTGTGAATAGCAAAGGAAAGGGAAATAAGATAGGAAAAGAGAAATGAAGGGCAAGGGAACTGAAATGAATCAGTGGCTCACCCAGGGCTCCAGGACCCGGACTAAAAAGGACCCTCTTCAGTCCCCTTAAGGAAGGGTTAGAGGGCAACTACTCCTGTTAGCCTCCAGGTGGCCCCACTGAGCTGTGCTGAGTAAGAAGAAAACAAGGAGGCAGAGGGCTGGGAAGACCACAGCCCCCAATATATTACTGAGAAACCAAGATTAACAGACTTTCCAGTTCCTGACTATAATGTAGCATGAGAATTGTTTTTGGAGCATCTAAGAGAGTACCTCATGAGATAAATAAAAGAAACCTACACGTAGAATAATCAGTATGAATGTTAATTATCCCCAGTAAAGAAAGTTTTAAAACAAAATGAGAGAATAAAGAAACAAATACTTGAGCCTCACTATAAGCAACCTTAATAGATAAACATTCAAAGTTATAATATAGGTTCATCTGATATTTTTTTTACTTTGTAGAAATTTTCCTTCAATTTTATGGAATTGTTTTTTGTTTTTGTTTTTTACTGTGATCTCTTCAACCATTTAAATATAATTTTATTCAACATACATAAACAACTTTTGTTTTTTAAATCAGGGCTTTCCTGTATAGGCACAGAACTACTTGAATTTGGTCTAAATATGATCAATTAAGAAATCTGGCAAATCAGGTTCCTGCCCTCCTCCAAGACCATTACTTACTCCAGTTTGCAGGATTCCTTCTGGTGCCTCAGTGAAGGATAGAAAGAAAAACTCAGCTCCACGAGAACTTGACTCTGAAGGGATGGGCTGGAAATGAGAGAGAAGGATTTCCTGATTGGCCCATTTTGCCCTGGGCCCTCCTTTGCTGTTCCTGCCCTTCTCTGTAGAGGAGGAGTGCAACTCTCAAGTTAAATATTTATATGTTCTAAAGACTATTTTGCAGGGTCAGGTCTAAGAATTCTGCAGGAATTCCTAACAGGCACATCAGCAGGAGCGCTGCCCAGCACAGAACTAGGCACGGGGTAGTATGGAGAAGAAAAATAAGAGAAGGATCTCTGTACTCAGAAAACTTAGCATCATTTTGTACGGGAAAGACAGTTGCTAGAAAACAACAGAATGAAGGACTGTACATGATTCAATTCTAAATGACTGCTAGGAAGTCTTTTACTAATCCATTTAACAAATATTTGTTAAGTATTCACCATCACCCAGGCACAGTTTTGGGTGCTGAGGACACAAAGATGAATGGGATATTGCCTCTGCCATGAAGGAATTACAAATCAGTGAGGAAAGACATGTGTCAAGAAAGGCTTTACCGAGTTGGTAACATTGGCCCTGAGTCTGGAAAGTTTTGAAAGGTAAGTAGGGAATCACTGATGGAGAAGGGGAAAGATGATACCACCACAGGGAGAAACTGAAACAAAGGCACAGAGGTGAAGACTTCCCTGACACATTAAGGAGGCTGTAAAAAATAGCTAAAGACGCATACCTACTAGAGAATGGACTTGAGGACATGGGGAGGGGGAAGGGTAAGCTGGGACAAAGTGAGAGAGTGGCATGGACATGTATACACTACCAAATGTAAAATAGATAGCTAGTGGGAAGCAGCCGCATAGCACAGGGAGATCAGCTTGGTGCTTTGTGACCACCTAGAGGGGTGGGATAGGGAGGGTGGGAGTGAGGGAGATGCAAGAGGGAGGAGATATGGGGATATATGTGTATGTATAACTGATTCACTTTGTTATAAGGCAGAAACTAACACACCATTGTAAAGCAATTATACTCCAATAAAGATGTTTAAAAAAATAGCTAAAGAACAGAGGCAAATTTTTGAGAAACTAATGAAGGAGGGACAAAATAAAGTAAGAAATTAGTTAAGGAATGGAGGGGAAAATGTGAATGAGATGGTGGTAGTTTATCCAGAAATAAGTCTGGAGATGCAGTCAAGTGCCAGATGGAGATGGGCTCTGTAAGCCAGGCTAGAAGTTTGGGCTTATTTGGAACCAGCTGCGGAGGCAAGAGGAGAATGGATTGGAAGGATGCACACTGGGGACAGGGAGACCAGTCAGGAGACAAAAGCAATAGTCCAGGTCAGACATGGTGAAGCTCTAACCAAAGCAGTAGATGGAGAGAAGGAAACAAATCTACAGGATGTGGTGACTAATTGGGCATAAGGGAGTAAATGAAAGGGGGAAGTTAATTCTTCAAAATTGTTCAAAATGATCTATTTTCTTCCTGCTCCTATCTGCCAGTAATACTGAGCTGTATGTTGTTCCCTAAACACTTGATGTTCCCTTGTGCCTGTGCGACTGTTTGTGGATGCTGTTCCTTCTGCCTCCAACACCCTGCTCCTATTTACTTACCTGGAAAATTCCCACACCACCTTCAAGTCTCTGTTGCAAGGCTACTCTCTTCAATGAAGCTTTCCATGATTCCCTCCAGATGAGACTTAAGACCCCTTTCCCCACACCCTTACTGCAACATGCTCTTGCAGAAGACTACAGAGCATTTAGCGCTCTAAATGTTTACTTGTCTCCCAGTAGACCATGATCTCATCAAGCACAGGCTCTTTATCTTGTTCACCACTGTATCCCCAGGCTCAAGGCCTGCCACAATATTAGGCAATCAATAAAGATCTGTAAAATAAGTGAAACAAACAAACACAGATTTCTGGCTTAGATTATTGGGTATGTAGATGATGATAACAATCACCAAAATAGGAAAACATATCTCTATTTCCCTAGCTCCATGCACACACACACACACACACACACACGTACACACACACACACACGTACACACAAACATAAAAGCCCTACCAGAGTAAATGTGTGTTATATTCTGCAGCCTAGAGCAACTCATTTTGCCTCTCTGGGCCCCTTCTGTTATTCCTGCCCCGCCTAATTGCCCAATGCCATTTGATTAGGAAAATTAAGTAATTTAATACAGAAAAAGAATTTGAAAAACAGTAGGTAAACTTGCAGTTGTAGTCTACTATTGTACATTCTTATACAAACTCAGGAAAATTAAAGATATTTTCAAGCTGACATCTGATTACAATCTCAGTATGACTGTGAAGTCTCTGACTCATCCTAGCACACACTTTATCTCTGTTTTCATTTTTACCTTAGAAAATTGCCAGTTCTCGGTCAAGCCCAGGTATAGTTATAGGCACAGAGCCTAGCGTTCAGTCCAGGTGAAATGATGCCAGTGATCACATCTGTCTTCTCTTGCCCTTCCTCTTCCCTCTTTCTTTTTCCTCTAGAAGGCGTGAAAAATCCATGTTCATCTTCTAAATGCAGGCTACAGCACTCATCTCGCTTGTCCAGCAGATCCAAGTTTCCTTTAAATGCAGGTACAATTGATAACACCCAACTGCGGAGAGGAAGAGAATTAATCCGGCTGATATCTCCCCTTGAGTAACTGCTGGCTCACAGGCTTGGGCTTCATTGTTTAAATGTTTTCTTTTTCTCTTATCATTTACAGTTTGATAAACTCTCAAAGTAAAGATCAGGAAGAATGAAATGATTTACCCAGAGTCAACAGCTAGTTAGTGGCTAAGCCAAACCAATATCCTGGGATCCTCACTCCTGGTTCCGTGCTATTTCTGGGCTGTAGGGTGAAACATAAGAGATGCTCTGTCTCTGCAGCCTTTTACAGTTTTTCAAAAGATTTTCCTGTACTTTCACTGCTCATCCTCATAATATTTCTGTAAGCAAGTCAACTACTAATCCTATTTTAGGTACAGAGAAAATTATATTCAAAGAAAACGAGCAATTTGTCTAAAGTCATACAGCTGGTTAGGGCAGAGTCAGGACTGGAGGCTAGCTATGGTCATTTCCATGGAAGCTTGGCCTCAGAGCTCTCCTAAAGTCTAGGGGTTGCTCCTGGAAAACCAGGTGGCCTGCCACAAACCCATCTGGGAAATAAGTATAAACAATAAATGATTTTATCTTTCCTGCTTTGACCTCTCCTTGATTACTAGTACAAGCAAGGGGAACTAGAGAGCATATAGAAATTTCCAGTTTTGGTCTTAATGAAGTAACTTACACTTAACTAACTCTCCTGCTGAGAACAACTAAAAAGGCTAGACAAATATATAAATCAACAGGTGAAAGCACTGCAGAGCAATCAATGGAAGCAGGACTTGAAGGTTTTTGATTCTTGAGAGAAGGGAAGCATACCAGTTGAGTTCCACATTCATCCTAGCTCTTTTCCTGAAGGCATTTTATTTTTCAAATCACAATGCAGAGAAATAATGCTCAAGTAGTCTTTTTGAAGGAAAAAAATCATAAAAAGAAAAGAATAATGAAGAAGGAGCCTAAAAACTTGCAACCAAATTTCAAAGTCATTGGCCAACTCAAAAATTTTAGATGCTCAAAACAAGCCACCAAGAAACTCAGTGAAAAACAGTATTTGGAGTGCTTAAAGACCTGAGCAGACGGACTTCCCTGGTGGCACAGTGGTTAAGAATCCACCTGCCAATGCAGGGGACACGAGTTTGAGCCCTGGTCAGGAAAGATCCCATATGCCGTGGAGCAGCTAAGCCCATGAGCCACCACTACTGAGCCTGTGCTCTAAAGCCCACAAGCCACAACTACTGAGCCCACGTGCCACAACTACTGAAGCCCGTGAGCTTAGAGCCCATGCCCCAACAAAGAGAAGCCAGCTCAATGAGAAGCCCGGGCACCGCAACGAAGAGTAGTCCCCGCTCGCTGCAACTAGAGAAAGCCCACGCGCAGCAACGAAGACCAAACACAGCCAAAGATAAATAAATAAAATAAATACACTAAAAAAAAAAAGACCTGAGCAGAGATTTCAGCAACTATGTGGTACTGGAGAGACAAATGTTTGTTTTGGACCTTGATAAACACATCAGGCTTTCTACTGAGACCCTAAAGGGGCCATAGCCTAGTAATAAGAAACATGCGTTAAGAAAAAACACTGTGCCCTAGGGGAAAGACAAAACCGAAATAACAAACATAAAACAAAGACTTAACAGAAGTAAGTCAGTCTATTTCTACCCTATCTTCCTGACAAAAGAAATGCTAACCTTCTTTAAGCATATATAACATATCATCCAGAGCTTCTACAAATGTTCAATTACAATGTCCAGCATCTAATTTAAAAGAAAAAGACATTCTTAAAAAAAAACAAACAGCAGATAATAGAAACAAATCTGTAAACGACTCAGATATTAGAAATATCAAACAGGGACTTTAACATAACTATGATTAATCTTTTCAAGAAAATAAGGGGAAAGGTGGAGAAATAGATGAAAAGATAGAGATTTAGAAAAGACAATTAAAATTTGTAAAAAATAAATGCACATTCTAGGGATTAAAATTAAGAACTAACTGGGCTTCCCTGGTGGCACAGTGGTTAAGAATCCACCTGCCAATGAAGGAGACAAGGGTTCGAGCCCTGGTCTGGGAAGATCCCACATGCCGCGGAGCAACTAAGCCTGTGCGCCACAACTACTGAGCCTGCGCTCTAGAGCCCGTGAGCCACAACTACTGAGCCTGCATGCCACAACTACTGAAGCCCACGTGCCTAGAGCCCGTGCTCCACAACAAGAGAAGCCACTGCAATGAGAAGCCCAGGCACCGCAACGAAGAGTAGCCCCCGCTCGCTGCAACTAGAGAAAGGCCACGCGCAGCAACGAAGACCAAACACAGCCAAAAATAAAAAATAAAATAAAATAAAAAGAACTAACTAAAATGGTTTAACGAACTGGATAAAACAGAAGACAGGGTGAGTGAACTCAAAGAGTGGTCAACAGAAAATATCTGAACAGCACAGAAAGAAAAATTT